TACCTAATTTGAACAAACTCAGCAGCACTGGAAATACTGAGGACTATGGCTTAAGCCAATGCTGAGCTGGTTGAAATGGATGGGAAAGTTGGAAAGTAACCTTGTTCCCTAAGTCCAGCTAATAACTTCTGACTGTAAAGAGCAGCAAATTAAGTTAAATCTTCTGGGAAAATGCCACATGACTAGACTAGCATAAAATTATGGAAAATCTTAAAGCTGTCCAGACCCCAGCTCCTTATGGGATTGGAAAAGGTAAAAATCCTTCTTTACTGTGTTTTAACTCTCTGATCTAAAGCACTTTTTCTAAAGACATAGGTACAATTTTTTGCTCAGCATCACTTAAAACTTTGAGGATTAATAGCTTTCATATTAGGGAGCATACACTACCTTAAGTCCTTATTCTCTTTTAGAGCTGCAGACTGAAGAATGCTCAACAGTGCCCTTTTCCAGGGTTACAGTTCTCAGCTGCTGGAGCCCTGCTTTCCTTTTACCTAGCTGGATGGAGTGCCTATTGAACTCTAATCCTAATCCTAACCACTGGAAAGAAAATTACAGAGCCAGTCATGACCATCCTCACACCTTCATCTTTTCCACCCATCTCTCCTTTGCAGGCACACTTCTGTAACACACTCTGTAAAAAGTAAACACCAGGAATATGGATTTTCATTATAAATATGTATTTTCRAACATTCATTAATACTGAAACTTTTCACATTTAAGTTTCTCTATAAAGGTTGAGAGTTTTGCTTAAAATAAAGCATTACTGAATTAATGAGTAAGAAATCATAATGAGAAGCAATTTGAGACTTCCCATCTATGTAGATTTTCCTAAGAAAAAATCTCACCTCATAATTTCATAAAAATTGGAAATAAAAAATTTAAATAACCTGTTATTTTTAGTCTACATAATAAAAAAATTTGATTACAGTGATAGCATTATAATTTTCATGATAGAGTTCTGTAATGTGTTGGCAAAATTGCAACAGTTATGAGGATAATTATTGATAGTATTAAAATGAGTTATCCATTTAAAAGTTAACAGTTTCAGGCAGGTGAACTATAATGAAAGGACAGTCCTATTGTTTTTCCTTTCCTTTCATAAAAAGAAATTCTAAGTGCAATCCCCATATCACCACTTACTCATGGAAAACACACATCTGCTCTGTACCACCAAGAGAAATAAGATATCTCATAACATTTTCTTGCAAAATTCATATATTCATGAAGTGTAAAAAAATACTAATATGCCAAATATATATTCACTAACTGAAGAAGTGAGATGAATGGCCAATACTACCCATATAGGAAAATAGCTTTTAAAGAAATTATTTATAATTTTGTCATAAATATCTGTTCCATTCTTTGTTTTTCCCCATTACTTTAAAAATGACTGCACAATTAATAACTAGCAAAAGAAAATATAACATATGTTAAAATTAGAGCTGCAAATATACAAGCTTTGTCAGTAACTTAAAATTATTTAAATTCCCAACTATGGTAGGTTTTAATTAAAACAATTCTATTAATCATCTACAGGACTCAAAGCTTAGCCTGACAATTATTACTGTTGCTCAAAAGTTTCTAACCTCTAATAGAAAAGTCAATGAGCTTTCCTTTTACCAAAAGTTAACAAAAGTACCAATGATGATGTATACATTTATATTATAAATGTATTTTAAGTTTTATTGCTAAGGAAAAAAGAAAAACAAAAGCAAGCTATTTTTGTGTCTGTTTACTTGTGGTGAAATTCAGGTATATGTGTTCCAGTCAAGTCTCTGCAGATTCATCATCAGATTTATGTTGAATAAATTCCAGTTAGTACATTCCAAAGGAAGATTATATTTTTGGCTTAGCTATTTTGGGTGGAGCAAAAGCATATTTTAAGTAGGTTCCTCCAGAAGGAGAAACTATACTTCTTCCTGTAAAGGCAAGCCTTCCAATAATGAGAAATTCCATTTCCAATGCACTGAATGGCCTGGTGTATCAGATATTTTAATTCTAATTTTAAAGTATAAGACCTTTAGGAAATAAACAATGAAGGTGATATGGTCCAGTAAGTTGCTAACCACATTGTGTCTACTGAAATTAAATTTATTAAAATTACATTCAATAAAAAGTTCAGTTCCTCACTCACGCCAGCCACGGTACAAGTGCTCAGGAGCCACATGTGGCCAGTAACTCTATATGAAGTTCAGCTATAAAGCTTTCTTATTGCAGAAAGTGCAACTGAATAGTCTTGAACTGAAAGATCATCTATTTCCTAGACAAGGTTTTTGGTGAACCAAAAATGACTTATTCTTTTCCTGGTCACATGATTTTCATGTAACAAGCTAACTGGACTTGATGACACCTGCAATATGCAAGGAGAATGACATTGTGAATTATTTGCATTAAATGATTAGTATACCTATGCTGTGATATACTCTTAAGTTTCAGTAAATGTATTTCCACTTTATTAGTCTGGAAACACAAGTTAACATATGTTGTGTGACAAGTAATGAGAAAAGATCACAACATTAATAAAGTGTAAAGGAAAGCCTGGTGTCTAATGCATATTCCTGTCACAGGGAACTCTAGAATGAAAAGAAAGGACAAGAAAACTCATTCCTGGGGTAGTAACTAAAAATGCATCAAGTAGCTCTAAGTTTGTCTAAAAGTCTCTAAAAGCCCTTCCTAATCCTATTAACATAATGAACAGTCACCTTTCAGTTTGTTTTAAAACAGCAAGAATTGCTAAGTAAAATAAGTGTTGTGTTTTCATTTGATTATAATAACACTAAATATAATTTGTTGTAAATGGTTAGTATATGATTGCACTGCTTTGACTGAACTGATTTAAAGCACATTTCAGCATTCTACCCACCTCTATATAAACACACACACACACACACACACACACACACACACACATATATACACACATACATAAATAAAACTCAAAGTTCATATTGTGGTCACATATTTAATAGTACCTTTGGTAATTATAGTTAAAAAAAAAAGGTGTAACAACCCTCTTGACTAGGAATATACACTCATTTATGATGGTGTGTCTTTAAGAATATGTGACATACCTATATTTACAGAATTTGTTACAGGAAGGTAACATGCCAAAACTTAAAGAACTACTTTAAATTCCTTTTTAGTATATAGTTTATCAAAACATAATATTTGAGAATGGCTTATAACTTAGGTGCACTTATATAAAATACATTAGCAAGCATGCTAAAACAATATGAATTTGTAAAAGCAAAAAAATTCCCTACACAAAACCTGGCGAACACTTCCAGTGCACTCCATTTTTGTGCACATTAGCTCACTCCTTACTGCAATCCTCTAATAAATGAATTAGCTCCATTTCACAGTGGAAGACATTGAATCAGACAAGGAAATGGACTCAGAATGAAAACACCGAGGACCTACAATGTGCCAAGTATGAAGAGTTGGGGATATAAATTCTGAACCAGATGATGCCTCCTCAACCCTTAAAGCTGTTCAGTACTTAGAACATCACCAAAACTTTGTCTTGTTTGGCACATTTAGTATTTGATAATCACTGTTAACAAGGAGCACTTAGCAGAGTAGCTGGAAGAAAGACCTAGGAGCTAGTCATCTTCAGCTTGAATCCTAACCCACCACTCACAATTACATCATTTTAGACATTACTTTATCTTCTATGCCAATACTTTTTCCTTCATAAAAAACAGGGATAAAAATTGTAATATAATGTTCACGAATTTGCTCAGAAACAGGTCATTAATCCATGTAAAGCACACCGTAAATGTTTTATTAGTTATTTATTTATTTTTGGTACCAGGGATTGAACTCAGGGGCACTCAACCACTGAGTCTATTTTATTTAGAGATAGGGTCTCACGGAATTGCTTGACACCTCGCTGTTGCTGAGGTTGGCTTTGAATTTGCAATCCTCTTGCCTCAGCCTACTGAGCCATTGGGATTATAGGCTTGTGCCACTGTGCCTGACCACCTTGTTATTTTTATTGCTATTTATGCAGTGATAAATAATACATATGAATATAAATAAATGAGATTTTCTATATAGGGAAATATATTATTATTAAATATATATATTATACATACATATATATTAAATATATGATTCTATACTATGAAAAAATAAAGTGTGTTTTACTTCATATCTTCTAGATATTCTTTTCTAACTTCACTTATAAAAGCTGATAATGGAGATTCTGTATCTGCATTAATCCATTCAACAAATATTTGTTGAGTACAGTAATCAGAGATACTTAACGTGTAGGGTACAGTAATCAGAGCTGAAGAAGACAAGCATGTAGTTCCCTCATGAAATCTAGACATTAAGCAGAAAATCACACAAATATTTGATTACATTAGAATAAACACAGCAAATGAAAAGTAAAGTATACAATGAGACCCTATAATGAGGAGACTAAACCAGTTTAAACACTACAGGAAGCACTGTTTGCGGAGTGACATTTAGAGCTGCATCGTCTGTATATCCCAGGCAAAGAAGCCTGGAAACAATTAGATGGGAGATAGCCTGTCAAATCTTAGCAGCTTTATGGATTTTAGATAGAGGAAATTGTATGGAAGAGAGGAAAAAGATTTTGTTTTTCTATTTGGATCAAGACTAAAATTCCAGAATTAATGACTTTTCATTAGATGATATTCTTGGCTTAAGAAGCAATAAGAAAAACAGAATTCCTTCGTTTTAGGTTGATGACAATGCATTTATCATTCCAAAAGACTACAGTCTATCCAGGTAGGGAGATCCCAAATGAAATACCTGACATCATCCTTGCACTTTCCTAGCAAGATGGTCAGGGTTCTGACATCTAACATCTGGAGGTTATTTGCAAGTAGTAGCTGCTGAGTTCTCAAGGGAGTAAAAACATGAACTGGCTCTTCCTACCCTAAAAGATCTTATCATTTAGCTGAAGACAACAAGGGTACCAAGTTCAACTTCAAAAATAAAAAAAAGAAGAAAGGAGAAAAGACACTTACGGAGACCATACTCTCGGGAAAGCCTCTACTTCTTCCGGGGTGTATTCATCTAGACGTTTTGGAATTTTCCGAGGCTGAGGCAGCTCTTCCACTAAATTCTTAAGAATATCTTCTGGAATATCCTATGTTAAACACATTTGAGGCTTAATTTTCTTAAAACATCTTTCTTAATAATAAGTTAATAATACTTAGTACTAGAAAATATGCAAAAGATGTTTATAGGATGAGAACAATATAATCTTAAAACTCATTGTCTAAATCTCTGAAAAGCAAAATGGACCAGTAATATAAGTAATTGTATTACAACAATATGCTTTACTTTGTCTATAAAATACATCATTTAATTTACCTCTCTTTTCAATTACAGGAAGGTGCTGCCTTAGTTCATTCTCATGCTTTCTCATCTGATGAGTGGATGTGTTGGGTCTACTGTATCCAGTACCACTACCTTTCAATTTGCACTTCATGTTATTGCCAGAAAAAAACTTTGAAAATTAAAATCTGCTGGATCTTTAGGCTGTTTATTTATCAAAGAAATATTTACTGAACTTTTTTTATGAACCAGAAATTATGTTTGGTGCTGAGTATATAAAGAAAAATCAGAGATCATGACTTCTAAAGGTTTACTCTTCTCAAAAAGTCACCTCTCAAGCTTAAGTTTGTCAGGAGGGAGCTCTAACTCCCTCGATAAACTTCCTCAACTAAAGCAGCATCCTTGCTCTTAGCTTGCCTCTGACCTCACTTCTCCCCACACTCTGGAAGTTTCTGACTTAACCACTCCTCATCTTTCATGCACTGGTTGAACTCAACTGCACTGCCTTTCTTTGTGGCATTTCCTCTGTGCAGAACTACTTCCTTCTATGCCCACATGCTCATAAAAACGAAGAGAAAAGATGGAAAACTGGCCTGACAATAGTGGGCAGAATGGACTGCAGTGGGGAAAAGCAGAAGACAAGGAAAAGAGGTCAGCAGCTATTCTAGTAACCAAAGTAAGACATAAAAAAGACTGAATTTGGGGAATAAAAAGTCAACACAAGAATAAAGTATATCAACTAAGAGATATTATAAAAAAGGAATCATAGGAGTTGGACAGACTACATAAAGGGAATAATATTAAAATGAATGGGTAACTGCCAGGTTCTCCAAAAGCCCATGTGTAAAAAGCTTGGGCCCTCAGGGTGGCTTGAGAGGGAAGTGGTGGAACCTATAGGAGATGGGGCCTATTGGGAGGTCCCTAGGTCATTGTGGCTGTCCCCCGAAAGGGAATTATGGGACCTCAGTGTCTTTCTCTTTGCTTCTTGGCCATGAGATGAGGTAAATAGTTTGCTCTGTCATGTGCTCCCTATCATTGCCTGCTGGTATGCCACCAAGGCCTGAAAGCAATGGGTTCAACTGATTAGGGGCAGGAACCTTTAAAACCATGAGTTAACTAAATCTTTTCTCTATAAGTTAATTATCTCAGGTATTTTGTTAAAGTAACAGAAAGTTGACTAACAAACATAATAACCAAAGGAATTAACATTTACATTGTACCCATGACACAAAAATAAAGCAACTACCAAAGGGAAATATATTGTGAGACTAGATGGATAAATTAATTTCTATGAGACTATTGAAATAATGGTAAGATATCAACATGGAAATATTTTATGAGCATTTCCACAAGGAGAATAGACAATTTCCTTTTTTTAATTGTGTGTGCCTAGAAATTTTCAAAAAAGGGAGTACCACACAGTACATTACAACTCTCCAAAGAGAACATTATTACAACTGGAAATCATATATCTAGCCAAGGACATGACATCAAATAAGATAGTTCTGACTAATGAATATAATGAGAGTCAGAATAAAATTTTATAATAGCTTTAGAATCATAGAGCTCGTTGGGCGTGGTGGTGCACTCCTATAATCTCAGCGGCTCAGGAGGCTGAGACAGAAGGATCACGAGTTTAAAGCCAGCCTCAGCAACTTATTGAGGTCCTGAGTAAATGAGAGCCTATCTCTAAATAAAATATAAAAAAGGGCTGAGGATTTGGCTCAGTGGGCAAGTGCTCATGAGGTCAATCCACAGTATTCCCCCACCCTCAAAATCTGAGCTCTACTGTGTTGTAAGCCTGTTCTAAAACATACTATAGCAAAAATTTTAATATTTAATATTTAAAATGGCTTTTTAAAATTATGATTTTCATAGGCTGGGTAACTATCAGCAGGAGAAAACAACAGATATTAATGATGTTTCTTTACTCAAAACTATTATAACAATATTGATATCCCTTCTCTTACTATCATTACTTCTCAGTAATGCAAGAAAAGTTTGCAGAAAAGTAGAGAATGCCTGGGTAAGTGAAAAATTGTTAAACAACATTCAGTTTTGACTTATTTAAGGGGAGGCTACATGTTTGCTTTGTATTTATGAAAATTTGTGAATATCTCATACTTCGATGGGAAGATATTTACAAAATCCCTAGATCATTTGTAAAGATAAATTCTAAAGTTGTCAGGTGCTCACTCAGCACAGAAACTAGAACACAGTGGATTCCTAATAAATGTTTGCAGAACAGAATGGAATTTTTACTGAAATAAGCTTTTCAAATTTCCTATTACAGAAATGGATAAAATTATCAAAGAATGGATAAAATTGATGTAAAATGAGGAATTAAAGTTGTTAATTAGGCATTACATGTAAAACCAGGAAGAGAGAGAAGTGCCTCCTTGAATCTACACATAGAGGGTAATCCATAAATTTTATGTACCTGAAAGTAACTTAAGAGTACTTTGCAAATTCTTCAACCCTAAATATTTCAGCATGTATCTCCTAAATATAAGGATAGTTTCCCATACAACCATGTTACAATTTCATATTCAGGAAAATAAACATCAATGAAAAAGTTTTTTTTTAATGTAATACATACCTTATATTCTAACTTCCCAAATTGGTCTAATATTGTCTTATATAACTTTTTGCCAATCTAAGAGCTAGTCAAGGATTATATGCTACATTTAATTATTCTATTGTTTACTCTTCCACCTACTCTCTAATCTGAAGAGTTGCCCTATCATTTTTCTTCAAGAAATTAGCAACTAGAGATATGAAAAATTGTGCTCTAAATGTATAATAAGAATTGTAATGGGGCTGGGGTTGTAGATCAGTGGTAGAGAGCTTGCCTACCATGTGTGAGGCACTGGGTTTGATTCTCAGCACCACATGTAAATAAAGATTCATTGACAACTAATATTTAAAAAAAAGAATTGTAATGTATTCCACTGTCATATGTAAATTAAAAAATTAATAAAAAATACGAGCATAAAAAAGAAATTGGCATTTTAAAGAGTTCAGTTCAATTATGTTTCAGAATGTCTTGAATTGGGATTTTTCTGATTGTTTCGTTATAATAAGATTCAGGCTAAGCATTTTTTGCGAATATTATATACTTTATATTGAATCTTCAGTAAGAGGCACATGCTGTCAGTTTGTCCCATTTCAAAGAATACATCGGATCACTTGGTTACCGTGGTGTCCAACAGACTTCATTAATGCAAAAGTATCTTTTCTCTTTCAAATAATTGGTACTCTGGGATTGGCTAACTTCGCTTAGCATTATCTTCTCCAACTCCATCCATTTACCTGCAAATGCCATGATTTTATTCTCTTTTTATTTCCGAGTAATATTCCATTGTGCAAATATACCACATTTTTAATCCATTCATCTACTGGAGGGCATCTAGGTTGGTTCCACAGTTTAACTCTTGTGAATTGTGCTGCTATAAACACTGATGTGGCTGTGTCTCTATAGTATGCTGTTTTTAAGTCCTTTGGGTACAGACTGAGAAGTGGGATAGTTGGGTCAAATGGTGGTTCCATTCCCAGTTTTCCAAGAAATCTCCATACTGCTTTCCATATTGGCTATATCAATTTGCAGTCCCACCAGCAATATATGAGTGTATCTTTTTCTCCACATCCTCGCCAACATTTATTGTTGTTTGTATTCTTGATAGCTGCCATTCTGACTGGAGTGAGATGAAATCTTAGAGTAGTTTTGATTTGCATTTCTCTAATTGCTAGAGATGATGAAAATTTTTTCATATATTTGCTGATTGATTGTAAAACATCTTCTGAGAAGTGTCTGTTCAGGTCCTTGGCTCATTTATTGATTGGGTTATTTGGTTTTTTTTGTGTTTAGCTTTTTGAGTTCTGATATAAGGAGGCTGACTCATAGTGAGTAGGGAGGGGGAGTATGGGAGGAATAGCTGAACTCTAAATAGGACAAAAGGGTGGGAGGGGAAGAGAAGGAGCATGGGGGTAGAAATGATAATGGAATGTGATCGACATCACTATCCAAAATATATGTATGAAGACACAAATTGGTGTGAACTTACTTTGTATACAACCAGAGATATGAATAATTCTGCTCTATATGTGTAATGTGAATTGTAATGTATTCTGCTGTCAGAAATATAAAATTAATTTAAAAAGATTTAAAAAATAATTGGTACTCTGAAGCATAACATTTTGAAACTAAGCCATCTTTTTACCCAATGGTTATAGAATATGCTGATAATGTAGCTTTTCTAATTCAATATTCCTTCCATGTTTTCTACATGACATTCTTCCATAAAGAACTTTTCCTTTTTCAGAAGAGAAGAAAAATCATAATAAATTTAAAAATAATTTTTGGACTAACATGGTGATTTTTGTTTTTCATGAATGCAATCCGTTATTATTACTTCAGACTCACAAAGTCCTGAATTTGGTCAGTGGGCACAACCTCAAGCTGCCTGCGTTCCTTTGAGACTTCTAAGTTTTTAAGCCTTAATTTCTGTTCCTATTACTTTACTATCATAAACAATACAGAAATGATAATCTTCTGCACAGAATAGCACATGAACTGGTCACTAGTTATGCTCATTTCTATTGGTTATTTTATTTTCTGAATATGTAAAATTTTAACATGGTAAAAACCTAAAATAGAAGAATTCTCTAAAACGTATTCTTTAAAAAAATCTCATCCTCTCCCCTATTGCTTTCCAATTCTTTGTATTCATACTTCAGTAAATAGCCAACTTCATTTTCTCATTTATTTTTCTGGTTTCTTTATGCAAAAAAGGACGCAGATATGTACATCTGAGTGTTGAAGCACATTATGTATATAGCCAAAGAAAAGGTAGTGAGTAGTCTATATTATCTTTCACTTGTTTTTCATGTCTCAATATAACTTGGAATATGTTACTTATTGAGTTTCAGAAATACCTTTTATTTTTAAAAATAATTGCACAATACTCAATTATCTGGATATAGCAAAGTTTATCCACTTTCCTCAATAAGCATTATTTATATTTCTTATTGCATTATAAATAAGGTGAAAAATAATTTCATACATGTGTATTTTTAGGATAAATTGCTATAAATGAGATCGCTGGATCAGGGGTGAATCTTTTCATGTATGCACTTTGGTCAAAGATTACCTAATTTACGGAATGACAGTAGGTTGTACATATTGTATTCCCATGAGTAAGTGCAAAGTGTGTTTCCCTGTGGCCTTGATGGTAAAATGTTTCATTTGAACATTTACCAGTTCATTTCTAGGGAAAATGGTACATTTATTATTATTTAAGTAGTGTACTGTTCAACTTAACTACCAAACATATTTAAAACATTGATACTTGAGCCTATCTTGTCAATGGAATAAATATTCATTAATAATATTTATTCTAAAAAATTTGTGAAGTACAATCAGAAATAGGAGTTTAAATTTCTGTGATTTTTGTGAACCTTAAATGATTTTATTCTGAACATGATTTTATACCTGAACATGTTATATCAGAGGTAAAATGACTAGTGGGGTATCACTGTACTTATTTGTATAAAGCAAAGGCAATAAATCAATCCTGTTTAAAAAGTATGAATAATCTACTCACTATGAATAATTACTTATACATTGCTTAAGCTTATATGAAAGAACATAAGTAGCTTGAACAATCACTATTACTTGATATTCTGTAATAAACTTCTATATTATTTTTCCAGTACAACTATAAGGACAACAATTATAACTTGATATTCTGTAATAAACCTCTATATTATTTTTCCAGTACAACTATAATGACAGCAACTATTCTAAGCAACTGCCAGGCCCTATATTAAACACTCTACAATTAGATTATTATAACCTTTACAATAAATTTATGAAATAGGCATTATGTTCATTTCACAGTTTACAAAACAGGGGAAATAAGTAACTAGTCCATGCAGTCAAAAAATATTTTTTGACATGCAGTCAAAAAATAATGGGACATGAATTCAAATCCAGGCAGTTTGACTCCAGAGCTTACACTCAAAATATTTTATTAAAGAGCCTCTAGTGTTTCACTAAATTATTACTATTGAGGAAAATTATCTACTTTAATAAATAAAAATATACTTTATCGGGGGTTGGGGGATATAGCTCTGTTGGTAGAGTGCTTGCATGCATAAGACCCTGGGTTCAATCCCCAGCACTGCCCAAAAACAAAACAAAAAACTTTTTCTTCCCCAAGTACTTTTTAGTTGAGTAAATTCTAAGTAAGAAAAAGAATTCTAAAGTTAAATCACAGGAAAGAATTAGCAACCACAAAGTTATTAATTCATGATTTATTGGAAGTTTGCCACTGGTCACAGAGAAAGTGAACTAAGTTAATACTGTTTTTCATAACAGGGGCTCTCATAGTTCCTTGTTCAAAATAATGCAGTTACTAACAACAGCAAAAACAGACCTTATAAGATTTTGAGTTTTAGTTCAACGATGGCTCACCATTTTATGGTTTAAAATAGGAGTAACATTTACTTTACATATACAAATTAAATTACAAAGATGTGTCAGAAGTTGAGATAAAATTATTGAAACTAAGTCAATGGCAATTATTTGAAATAAAGAGAAAATGTTTAGGAAAGGTATCATTACCAAAGACCACTGACTTACCTCATCTGGAAAAAGATGCAACCTTTGCATCATTGTTCTTCTGTGAAGGTTTTTTGGCAGCATGCCATAAATAGCCAATTTTACAATCTGAAAAACAGATATACCTAGAATTCAGTAAGAAAAATCTGACTTGGGAAAGAAAACAAGCAAACACAATTATAGATGGCAATGAAAACTAGTGGCTAAGATTCAGCATAAATACAGAAAAGAAACAGACCTAGTAAATATGTTGAAGCAAATAAAAAGGAACTTGTTACTTTGTACGTTATTCTTTAGGCTTTATTTGTTTATTGTTCATTTAGGAAAAAAAGAGAAGAGATTAAAAATAACCCATGTATGTGCCAACTTTAGACAGCATAAGAATGTCTCTAAGCTTATAAAAGAACCCATGGCTCAAGTAATCTATCACACAAGTTAGAGGACTTTAATCTTGGCAGCACGTTAAATAAATGGCTAAATTGAAAAAAAAAATCATGCTTAACATTAGTTGAAAAGTTACTGTATGTACAGTGGTCAGTGTATTATCTTTTAAATCTTATTTATGATGTTGTGAAGTAGGCATTATAATTAGTTTCATTTTACAGATAAGAAAACAAATAGTGAAAATAAAGAGATTCTCCAATTTTATATATCTAACAAATGGTGGTACAGGAATTTAAACCAACCAGTTTCATTCCCAGAACAGACACATAGTACCTGCTATCATCTCTATAATATGCTTCTCTCTATAACCTATCAAGATGACAAAGTCCCTTTCCCTTCCATACCAGTTCCCAAGACGGCAAACTAACTTTTCCATGATTTATTTCCCCCCTTTTAAGTTATTCTCTTTGTTGGTCTGAATGTGATTTAACGTGTATTTGGTATAGAAAAGGCCTCACCCTTTAAGCCACAATCTCCTGGGGGCCTCCTATATACAAATATTTGTTGTATACAAATATACTGCAAGCTCTTCATGAAAGTGCTGATAGAGACTTCTGGAGTGCTAAATTGATTTTTATCATTTATATTTATATTCCAAGAGTATAATTTGATGTGTGTTAATGCACTAAATACATGTTAGAATTTAGTTGCATTGTATGAGAATTTCTTATTCCCTTTCTTCTCTCATCAAATCAGACGACAAAGCCTTAGTACAGACTGAAGCTAATGGCATATCATATATGTTTTCTGTTAGTGCTATTAATACTTTATGTTCTAGAGAATTTAATGTAGATTTATCTGTTAAAAGCAATTAAAAATTCATTTCCTCCAACACAGAAGCTTTGGACAAGTGCCACCAGTGGTTAGTGGCTGCCATACTTGACAATGTGAACACAATGTTCCCATCATGGTGGGAATTTCTATTGGACAGCACTGATCTAGGTATTACTTTTTAAAAATTTTCATCTTTTTAAAGTCATAAGTACAACTGACAATGTTAAGACTACTCAGCATCTTTTCTGGATAAGCAAGTTGCTAAATCCTCTGAATATCTTTATAATAGTAATTGTATTGGTAGAGTTATATGACATTTGGTTTTCATGATCGTAAAATTTTGTTGTATTTATCTGATTAACATGTTAATATTTTAAAAACATTTTTATTAGTGTATTATAAACAGGTGGATTTCACTGTGACATATTCATACATCCATATAACATAATTTGCTCCATTTCATTACCCAGAACTTCCCTTTTCCCTCCCCTCCTCCTCCTTCATACCCTCCGTCTACTGATCTTCTATTTATTTACTTTTTAAAAAACTGGCGATTATAATAATACACAAAAGTGTGGTTTATTGTGATATATTCATAAATGCACACAGCACACTCAGTTTCATTTCACTGTTCATTTTCTATCCTTTCCCCTAGATTCCATTCCTCTAATCCACTGTTTGTCCTTCTATTTTCATGAGATCCTCCTTTTTTTAAGCCAATGCTGATTACAAATTATAGCTACCAGCAGAGTCTATTGTTTGAGACAAACACAGTGTTTGAACTGGAAATAAGATGAGTGACCTCTTCCTTAACAAGTAATTTTTTTTTCAAAATACAAGAGAAAAAACAAAAAACTTTTATGAAGTAATAATGCAAATGAATTTAACCCTGAAATATTTTCTAATCTTCAGCATTCTTCAATGCATTTCAATTTTTGTCCATAAAAATGATTTGAAACAATTTCTACTAATGTTATTCAATGTCAAAAGTTGGACTATACTGCCTCCTAGTGTATAGCTAAGATGCCTGAATGAAGCAGAAACTAAATTTTAAGCTTAAAAATATTTATAAAGGATTAAAACTGTAATTTGTTGTAGTAAGTCATGGTATATATATTAGTAGCCTTTATAACTTTTAACACTTTAAATGCAAGTCAAATTAATAGACTACAATGACCTGTAATAGTCTAAAAATACTAGTTATGGAGTGGAATATTAAGTATTCTTCAAGAAGCAACCTCTAAGCACATTTTCATAAAATAGATATGAATGATATAAAACAGTAAAACATAGAACTTGTAAATGGTATGTCAGGCATCATTATAGTAAAATAATCCTCCCCTACACTTAACCAAGAAAATTTTGGGCAGTACTACAAACAAATGATTGTGTATGTATGTGTGTGTGTATATATATATTCACTATTTTGGGGTAATAAAATAGAATATCTTCAGAGTCTAACACTCTTGCTCATTTATGAATGTATTTAAATAAAAAAGCTAAAATAGTCCATAAAAATGGAAAACACTCTCTCTATTCAGAGTATAGTTTAAATGCCAGGTTTACTGAGAATTTTAAAAGGAAAAATAAATTGTAATACAAATAGAAAGTTTGGTTTTATTCATATTGAAGATTGATATATAGGTTAGCACTTCTCCCTGTATATAACTCAAATGAAAGATAAAGTAATAAATACTTTAGTAATCTCATAAATGTAGATATTACCCGGAAAGACAGTATCAGGGGGTGTAGTGGAGAAATTAAAATTTGTTGAAAAGTCTTTGCTGATAGGTAATTTTCACTGTGAGTGTGACCTCACAAGGTTTTGAGGCCCAAAATATACCTTTTTATGGGAATCAAGATCTTAAGTCTAAAGTTTAGCTTAAAGAAGTCTTAGGATGGTAATAACCCTCTGCACTTCACAGTAACTAAGTAAATCCTTTTTTTAAAAAATTAATTTTTAACATGTTTCAAAGAATTCTCAGAGATGAAATTCCAAGATACTTAAGTGTATCAAGTATCCTGAACAGACACAATAAACTGAAGATCCACAACGACCACAAATATTACAGTCAGATATAAATGTTAAGAATATGTACATTATGCTTAAAGAAATATAATAGGGAACTAAAATATGAAAAATTGACCAGGAGACTATCAAAATTGATCAACAAATTTGAAAAAGAACCAAATAGTAAAACTTCAAGAAAAGAAAATAAAAAGATAATTCAATGAAAAGATTAATTGAATTAGACACAGATGAAAAGATAATTAGAGAACTGGTACGTAGATCTAAAGAAATTACTGAAACTGCAGCAAAGAGAGAGGGAGACAAAAAATATGAGAGGTATGAGTCATGCACAATAAAATGCAAAAATCTAAGTATAATCAGTTTTTCAAAAGGAAAGAAAAAACAGTAAAGAGACCAAATACTAAAAGATGTAAGAGCTAAAATTTCTAGAACTGAACACAGTAATCCTCAAATAAAATACACAAGATCCCCAAAGAAATATATGAAAACCAAAGCAAAAAAAAAAAAGGAATAAGATTTTAAAATTATGCAGAAAGACACAGTACATACAAAAAAATTAACATCCTACTTATGCATACTAAAAATAGAAATCTATGTAAACAGTAGCTTCAAAAAGCTGAGAAACAATGTTCATCCTAGAACTGTATATGCAACTGATCCTCTGTATTAGTAGGTTCTACAGATTCAACCAACTGTGGGTTGACAATATTTCAAAGAAAAAAAAATCACAACTACAAAATTTTATTCTGATCATTGTAAGACAATACAGTATGCCAACTATTTACAAAGTATTTACATCCTATTAGGTATTATAAGCAATCTAGAGATGATGTCAAGTATATGGAAAGATGTGCATAGGTATATGCAAATACCAGGCTATTTTATGTAAGGGAATTCAGCATCTGCAGATTTGCTTATCCATGGATATCCTGGAACCAATTCACAATGGATACCAAGGGATGACTGTATAACAAAATTATCTTTCAAGAATGAAAGTAAAAATAAAGAAGACAGTTTTGACAAAAAAAAATGAGTTCAGAATTAGGAGAACATAACCATTGGAATGTCAAAGGGAAGTATGCATGGAAAGGAAAATTGATCCCAGAAGGAAGGATGAGTTACAATAAGAAATTGTAAGCAAAGAAAATCATTAAAAAATTAAAAGCAGGATAAAACAATAACAAGAATGTTAAACTGAAAGAGTTTTAAGAATATAGAAAGAATACAGAAAGCAGGTAGAAGAATATAGAATATAGAAAGAAAAGAATAAAATAATATTTACCCAGGGGGAAAAAAAGAACACAAGTGGTTAAAAGTATAGACTTCTCAGTTGAATGAAATCACCTTTGCCTCCCTTTTGGCTGTGATCCTTGCCAAGTTTCTTTACCTCTCTGAAACATGATTTCTTACTCTATAAAATAGGACTATGACATGGGTGACCATGAAAATTAAAGGAAATTGTGCATGTAAAACTGTTAACAATAAATGCATCTAAATACATTGGTAAATGAATTAAATATAATTTAAAATGAAAAAAAAAAGAAAGCACGTAGGCTAGGAGGGAAGGTGGGTATTAAAAATGATTTAAAGTCTTTGATTTGATTAAGAGGAAGGTAACGATACTGATTAACCTTAGACTTATAATAAACAACTTGAATAAATCCAAAAGAAGACAAGGGAAGGAAAATAAAATAAGATCTAGTTCCATGATGCTTACAACAAACACACCTATAATAGGAAATGGTAAAATTTAAATAATGGAAAAAATATATGAGGCAAACATACATGAAAAAAAAAGCGTCTGCTATACCTATACTCTCAGAAAAAAACAGATTTCAAAGTAAAAATCATGACTGAAGACAAAGAAGTTCAGTACACATTGACCTTGATCTATTCTTTACAAAAATTATATATAATTTCAAACTTAAGTTTATCTAACATTAAGTCTTCAAACTATACAAATAAAAAAATTGACAAACTTATAAGGAAAAATGACTAAACCACAAACTGAGATTTTAAGAATACATTAAAAATTAGAAAAACAAAAGAACTCTTTCAGATAAATAATAAAACAAGAACAAAAACAAGCCAGTAAGAATATGTGGCTGGAGCAACATACTTAGCATACTTGATGAAATATATATACATACACATAGAAGTACACACATCTCTCTCTCTCTCTCCACCCCCTCAAAGTATTTGCAGCAAACTCATATTCTATGCAAATATGCAGGATTCAAGAAATTAAAAAAATGCATTAGAATTCTTTGCTAAATGTAAAACATAATAAATAGTAATTAGGACACACACCAAATTGAATGGCAATCAAAATAATACTTATCAAAACTTGTGTAAGATAGCTAAAGTGAAGAATCTGTAGAAGAGAAAGGAGATGAATCCATCTTTTCCTAGATGATAAATAAAAAAATTCAGTAGACTTACTGCTATTGGATCCTTCTGGTGAAGTTGAGCAGCTGTGACTTGTCTAAATCCACCTGGGTAGCTATTAAAAAAGTAGAGATTAAAACTGGGTATAGGATATGGTACTGTATCCTTAAGTTGATCACTCGTTTTTGATTAAGTACTTTAGTAAATTATTCTTGTTTCTGGAAACTATACTGTTTATTAATGTCTGAAATATAAAATAGTAACCTGTGCTATTTGAAATGCTGCTCTCTTAAGTGGCCAGCTCTCATCACTTCATAAATAGTTCTAATCTTGGAAAAATTTCTGGACATAACTGTATTTAATTTTTTTATTCTAAATTATTATATATGACAATAGAATGCATTAAATTCATATTACACATATAAAGCACAATTTTTCATATCTCTGGTTGTACACAAAGTAGAGTCACACCGCTCTATCTTCATACATGTACTTAGGGTAATGATGTCCACCTTATTCCACCATCTTTCCTACCCCCAATCCCCTGCCCTTCCCCTCCCTCCTTCCCCTTTGCCCTATCTAAAGTTCCTCCCTTCTTCCCATGTCCCCCCCACCCATCCCCATTATGGATCAGCATCCTCATATTAGAGAAAACATTCAGCATTTGTTTTTTGGGGGATTGGTTTACTTCACTTAGTTTAATAACCTCCAACTCCATCCATTTACCTGCAAATGCCACGATTTTATTCTCTTTTATTGCTAAGTAATATTCCATTGTGTATATATGCCACATTTTCTTTATCCATTCATCTATTGAAGGGCATCTAGGTTGGTTCCAAAGTTTAGCTATTGTGAATTGTGCTGCTATAAACACTGACTTGGCTGCATCCTTGTAGTATGCTGTTTTTAAGTTCTTTGGGTATAAACCAAGGAGTGGGATAGCTGGGTCAAATGATGGTTCCACTCCAAGTTTTCCAAGGAATCTCCACACTGCTTAGTCATTCATCCTTTTATTATGGGCAATCTATCACTGCTTGATTTAAAAAAGAAATAGCAATGAGCCAGGATAGTTCATGTTCCCTGCCATATTAGGCCAATTGTATAAGCTAGGGGTTAAATCTAAGGAAAATGGTGGTAGACCAATTGGTTTCTAAAGTCAAGTTCATACTATAAATAGGTAATGAGTTTTGGCCACTAAGAGTCACTTGTTGGCTCCAAGTAATAAAATACTTCATTGTGTTCAGATCAAATATTATATGTAAAATGGATGAATTAGCAAATTAAACTAGGTTTTGTAGTAACTCCTAGTATAAATTTTAGGCAATTCATTTTACCTGTCTATATGATTTTACTAAAAAGAAAAAAATCTGCCATATCTACTTCATAATATTTCTAAAAGTCAAATGAGAAAATATTTGTATAAAAGAACAAATTTTCAATTATTTTTAGGAAACAGTTAAAATTGGAAAGTCAGAAAAACTTAAGATTAAGTAAGTGTGATTCCTTTCACGAGTTTTTCTTTTAAGAAAATATAAAAACATTTTAAAGACAACTTAAGAAATCACATTGTGGGAATAAAACTTAAGAAATCAAATTTAGAAGTTCTCTGAGAAAGATGGGCACTTTTCAAACTAATATTATTTTATTTGCTTCATGGTATTTCAGTTTTAGTAAAACTGTCTAGACTTCTATACCTGTAATCTTTCTATCCATGGAAAAATATTTTGTAGCTTCTATGCTAAAGAATCTGTATTTGCTACTGGAATGGCAAATTCTAAAGCATAACACCATTTATGCTATATTTTAGGAGCTTGGATTTCATCCTAAGGATCTGGAAAGCTAATGCAAAATTCTGAGTAGGGGAATGACTTCAGTAATGCAATACTCAGTTGATTTTTACTAGCGAAAAAATAACTACATTTCTTTCTCCACCATAAGACATCTGGATGGATTAAGGGAAAATTGTTTAAATTATTTGCCATGTGCTTTTTTTAATAAAATAAATCAAATAAACATTTTCTGAATCCCCATTATGCTAGGTACTGAGGATGCACAGATAAATATTATAGGATTCTATTCTCAAGAAAAATAAGGAAATAAATTCTGTTGGAATGACTAGTAGGTAAGCTGTATCTCTAACTCATGAAAATATATTTGAGGCTGGCCTCAAACTTGTAATCCTCCTGCCTCAGCCTGATAGTAGTTGGGATTATAGGCATCTTTCACTGTGCCTGACATCAGAGATTTATTTTAAATCATCTTGATTATTATAAATCATATAGTACACTACTGTACAGTGACCAAAAATAATACATACCAAAAGGTTCCCTGGTAATTTTATATTAAGTAAATGAAAATATAAACTTTTTATATATAAAAATGTTAAATCATGGGATCAGAAGTAAATTTTATTCCTTTTTTAAACTTTCTACATTTTCAAAAATTAGCATATTTAAAAAAAATTTTACATGTGACTCTGTGTTCAACCAGAGACATGAAAAATTGTGCTCTATTTGGTAATATGAATTGAATTGCATTCTGCTGTCATATACAACAAATTAGAATAAATAAAATAATCAAAAAATGTTACAATTATAAGTTAAATTTTGAATACATAATTATAACAGTGTTATGAGCATAATAAAGTAGTTTGTACAAGGTTTAAGTAAAGAGCCAATAGAAAAAAACAGAAAGTGATTAACTCTATGGACAGTGAGAAAATAGGGAATGTATCCCAGAAAAGATGACATCTGAACCAGTTTCTAATGGTTAAATATGAAAGTTCACGAGAAAGATAAGATGAAATTACATTCCTGCCACAGCAACACCACAAAGGCAGAGATAAGCAATAGCAATATGTTGGCTAAAAGAAAAGGTGATCAAACAGCAGCAGTTATGCAGTGCCGCGCAGTTTTCATCCATCAGTGAGAAAGCACTACTGACAGGGACAGACACTACCAGTGATGTAAACACTCATTGCTTACCACTAGCTGTTGTTATTTCCCTTCCTTTGCAGTAATACCACACAGTAATTCACAGCATTTTGTGTCAATAATTTCCTTTAGGTTTTTATCACATTTTGTTATTCTGACTTTTTTATTACTTCCCAATTATCTCTTGATTTCATAGAATTTGATTTATATGTAGAGATTTGCCAATAGCAGAAACTACTATGAATGCTAGTTTTTTGTTAAGTTATGTAAAGATTTCAATAATGTATTTTAAGGTGAAGAATGGGCAAAGGCTGACTCAAGAAAACAAAAAAGTTATGCAAGAGATGAAAAGAAACATACCAGAACACCAGAGGTGAAGGTGCAGTTAGAAACAAAAAAATGATTTTGATCAGGAATGGAAGAGCAACATTTAGCACCAAAATTTAGATGATAATATAAAAGGTATGCTTAATTAATTTTGTCCTTCATCTGAATCTGTGGATTAACCAATACATTAGACAACAAAATTAGATCTCAAAATATCTCGACAGGGAGAAGATAAAATTTTACAACGAGCAAAGTTAAGGTCTTGCAGTTGAATTAAAACAACTAAAACACATAAGAAGGAAAAGACATAATTGAATGGGACATGTTTGAAAAAGACTAAAAAATTTTAGCTAATAGTTTTAGCTCCATGAATCATATTAGTCACAAGACTTTGAAGAACAATTCTATTGCAACGGAAGAGGGAGTTTAAGTTTTAGACTAAGAAGGAAGAGTCACATTGTACTTGCAAACCATGAGAACACATCCACGTGAGTATTTATTTAAGAGATATTGACAAATAAGAATGTATTTAAAGAGTGACCATTCCTTAAACTTCTTGTGAAATTTCATYTGTTCAAGATGGTTCTGGAAACAGCAGTAAGATGAATTATAGAAAGCAGAAAGCAGTTAGAAGACTGACTTAAAAATGAGAATAATTTTGATTAGAGAAGTTACATAAAAAGCTTGTAGGAAGCAAATAGTTTTGGTAGTAGCTAATATTTGGCATAATTTTGTGTTCATTTTGATTGAGTAACTTATACATGTAACATGAGTATAATTAGTATTTTATTAAATGCTAATTTTTTGAAAATACCCTTTTTCCTTTTAAATAAGAGTGGCAGCTAAAGTAATACCTTTTAACTATTTTCCTTGACAATGGCAAAGAAATCTTACCCAGTATGTGAAGAGTATACTTTTTGTTCCCATTTGTTTCCAGAAAATGCAATGTGTCTTGTGTTTATTATGACAACATGATCTCCACAGTCACCTAGATTTAAAAAGCAGTAAGAGAGACTTTGTGTGAAAAATCAAAACTTAAGAAAGGTAAGTTATCAAAGCCTAAACAACCTATAAAAAAATAGAAAGCAAATCATAATGCAATATCAAAAATCCTTAAACAGATTTCTGTTTCTTTTTATATAAACCCCAAGTGTTTTAAGTAACCCCTAAGAGTTGGCTGATTATTTGGAAAACCTCAGCACTGGAAGGTAAAAGAAATTGAATAAAGATGCCAATAACAACAATGTATGTTTTTTAAAGGTAAACTACTGTTATTTTTATTAATCTCCCCATAATAATTACACTTCACTAAAAATGTTTATATTAGTACTTTTAAATATTTGACATTAACTTTTCCTTACAAAGAGCAGAGAAAACTGAAATCAATATGTATATAAACATAAAAAGTGTGTTCTACCAAGAAAACAAAACTCATTGAAAACAAATGTGAAACATTATCATTAAATTTTTTTTTTCAAATTTAAAGAACATAGAGTACTATGATTTTATGTATAACTACTGCCACAAGATTTTTTCAATCACATGTAACTTATTGTTTAAAGTGCAACTCTCAATTGTGACTATAGACATAGCTGACAGGATGTATGACCTGAAAATCAAAATATACATACATCTGAGAAATGTCAGAGTCTATGCAAGGGCAGATTCAAAGACACCTGTTAAGTGTTGTAGAAGTCTCAAGTTCTTCTAAAATATGCTTTATAATCCTTTCCACTGATTAATAATTAATCCACTCACTGCTTATTACATACTAACTAATTTCAGGTAGTATTATTAATGCTGGGAATATAGCAATGAATTACTGAAATCCCCTTGTTAATGAATCCTACGTTCTAGTGGAGGAGTTAGATAACAAAGAAACAAATAAATACATATACAACATGGTAGGAGCTAGTACAAATAGGGGGATAGACAGTAATGGGCTAGTGGCATTATTAATTGGTACACTTTTTCCCCATAAACTTGGGTTTTTATTTCTCTTGGATAAATTTCCAGGAGTGCAGTTACTACATTATATGGTAAGTTCAAGTTTAGTTTTATAAGAATCTGCCACTCCTTATCTAGAGTATCTGTACCATTTTACATTTCCACCAGCCATATGAGTAATCCCATTTCTCTACCTTCTCATCAGGATTCATTATCACTTTTTAAATTTTAGTTATTTTGATAGATATATGTTGATATCTCATGGTTTTAATTTGGTTTCCCTAGTGGCTTAATTGAACATCTTTTCACATGTTTATTTGCCTTTTGTTCATGTATTTCAACCATTTTCTAATTATATTTTTTTAAAACTGAGTTTCCAAACATCATATAATATACTGAATATGTGTGTGTATGTGTACATATATTCACACACACATATATATACACACAAGTATATATATGTACATGTATATACACACATTCTAGATACAAGTCCTTTTTTCGCTATGTGGTTTACAAGTATTTTCTTCCAATCTGTGGCTTTTCTTTTTATTCCCTTCCCATAGTCAAATCCTTGTAAGCTCTTTGCTTTAGCACATTGGTTTTTAAACTGCACTTGATAGTCTTAGGGTTCTTATAATGTACCTCAAGGATGAGGGGAAAAGTACAGCATTGCTTTTATATATTATAAGATTTGGTGTAAGAAATGTTGAAAAACCAGCCATTGCAAATTAATGATAAAAAAATAAAGGTTGGCTTTGGCTTTTTATGTCTATTTACAATTTGGAAGGACAAATATCCAGATGCCTACATAAGTATTATTTTGGGCATTCCTGAACTTGTGTGTACCCAGTGTGACAGGTGATCACATAGGTTACCATAAAGTCTGAGTGTAAAGACATTGTGAGAGTACAAAGCATGTTGATAAAATTTACTGCCAATTTTAAATTATTCACTTGCAAATGAAGTAAATATTACAGATACAAAATGAAGCAAAATCTTCTTCAGCACTTTGTAGGATGATATTTAGGGGTGAGGTGAAGTATAAGTATGTAATTTAGATTACAAAATTAAATGATTTGGTAGTTAACATCTGAAATAGACTGACTAAATATTAAGATAAAAAATATGTTAGGCAGCTCTATAAAACCATCATAAACTTACAAGACAGAATACTAGAGATTATTTAAATTTTAAGTCTGATCTTTGCTGAAATACATGGTATTTATAACGTTAACCTTTAAGAATTTCAAAACTTTTATTTCATTCCATGTAGACGGGATATTTTAAGATAATCTAAAGTTACTTTAATAATGCTAAAGAAAGGTTTCCCTCTGCTTCTTTTAAATTTTCCTATAGTTCTTCTCAGTGAATCAGGTATTGAAGTCAAAGGAGCAAAGTCCTCATGAGAATAAGTCATACTCCATAAATCACCATGTGCCCTTCTTTTGATTTACTAGTCAAAAATTAAACATGTTGGAAAAGTTCTCGAGTCCCATTCAGAAGAACAGTTCTAGTTGATGGGAATTTTTTTCCTAGTTGACCCCCATTTCCAATAAAAATTGACTTTTCTATCTTGACCCCCATTTCCATTTCCTAGGAAACTGTATGCCAATTTTCCAAATAAATACAGTGATTATGAGCCCATAATACACACTTAGTAAATGCTTATTAAACTTGAAAAAAAACACAAAGAACTACACTATTAAAAGACATTATAGTTATAAATTGAAAGCTGCTTAAATTTTGTTTTTAGTGACATCTTGTGGTCATAAAAAGTTTTGCTGACATAAGTTACATATTCAATATAGATGAGACAAAAATGTAAATCGGTCTTTAAAAAGTAAATTTCTTATTCATATAAAAGCTATTCTCCATTATTAGAAATGCCCTAACAAGGAGCCACAACAACTCTTCTGGTGTTTAGCAGAATGCACATTCATCAGTATCTGAGGAGTACTTCTACAATAATGACTCCCTTGTAAGGAAGCAGAACTTTAACTGAGTGGACAGACAACAGCTATACTTGGATACAGAAATTAGGTGAAGATTACTTTCCCTCAAATTATGTATTATTTGCACTTCTTCAAAGTCAATCTAAGTGATCTTATTTACTACTTGCTAATAGCATTGCTAGGGAAAAACAGTGTAGTGACTAAGAATCACCATATTAAAGAATTTACTACATGAAAAAACAGGAGTCTAAGTTCAGTCTCAGTTCTACTATTGTATAGTTGAATGATAGCAAGAAAGAAACTTTATTCTTCCAATCTTAGTTTTCTCATCTGTCAGTGAGATAATTAAACAAACCTATAAATTGGTAATTCTATGACTGGTATTTTCCTGGTCTGCCAAAATAATATTTTTTAAATAACCAGAAATTTATTATTACTGAAAATATAAATCTGCTGATCACTGTTTTACTTTCAAAATACAGTTCATCTCATTATACATGGGTTCTGTATTTGCAAATTTTCTAATTGTTAAAATTTATTGGTGAGGGCTGGGGATGTGGCTCAAGCGGTAGCGCGCTCGTCTGGCATGCGTGCGACCCGGGTTCGATCCTCAGCACCACATACAAACAACGATGTTGTGTCCGCCGATAACTAAAAAATAAATATTAAAAATTCTCTCTCTCTCTCCCTCTCTCACTCTCTCTTTAAAAAAAAAATTTATTGGTGACTCAAAAATCAATACTCAATGTTTTTGTGGTCATTCATTGACATGCTTACAATGGAGAGAAATGTGAGTTACTTAATGTGTGTGTTCCCAGCTGAGGGTAAACCCAGCAGTGCTCTACCTTCCTATTTCACCTTTTGCACTGTGAATAAGCATCCTTTGGGTGATCTACTTAATGTCACATCTTTGGGGTTTGTGTATTTTTTGTTAGTGCTTTCACTGTTTAAAATGTCCTCCAAATTTGATAGTGTAGTATAGTATAATGTTCCTTAGTGCAAGAAGGCTATGATGTACCTTATGGAGATAAAATGTGTGCTAGATAAGCTTAATTCACTTCTGAGTAATAATGCTCTTGGTCATGAGTTCAATGTTAAAAAATCAATAATATATTGATTCTTTAACATTATAAAATATATATATATATATATATATTTTTTTTTAAAGCTAACTTTAATTAGGTGTGGAGGCACATGCCTGTAATGCCAGCTATGTGGGAGGCTAAGGCAGAAGAAGTACAAATTTGAAGCCAGCCAAAAAATAAATAAATAAAAAGGTTGGAGATATAACTCAGTGGTGCAGTGTCCTAGTACTGAGGGAAAAAAAATATGTGTGTATATGTGTGTGTGTGTGTGTGTGTGTGTGTGTGTGTGTGTATGTATGTGTGTATAGAAACCTACATAAACAAGGTTATGTATTGACTGAAAATATAAAAGTTGGACTGTGGAATGCAGTGCACTGACTATACTGACTGATGAAAAAGTTATATCCCGTGGCTACTCAGAGGAACTTAAACCAATATTTCCCCTGCAAGCAATGGTTCAGGATTTATTAGTCCAGCATTCAAGGTGATTTTATAGAACATAACTTTAGGGAATAATAAGAACACCTGTATTTACAAAATATCTATTTGAAAGTGTCACACCACAAACTATTTCTGATAAGCATCCTTTGGGTCACACATTGTACTAGATGCTTAAAAAACAAAGATTTAAAATGAAAAAAAATCCTTAGATTCATATACTTAATTGCATATTTTATAAGGTATGAGGAGATTATTTTGATACTTTACTGAAATTTTCATTAAGTGGAGAAAAAGGTTAGAGTAGCAAGTATAATATGGAAAAACATAAATCCTTATTCTCACCCAAATCAGATAATTTCAAATGCCCATCCACACTCCAGCTCCACAGATCCGTAAATCTAATTTAGCTTACATGCCAAAGTTCTAGCTAAATGTATTTCTTTCAATTTCAGAACTCATATTTATGAATAAAAACAAACATACAATAATCATTTCTCACATTCCAACTGTATGTCAAGCACTATTACAGGTGCTGGGGCTATAGCTGTAAATGAAACAGGCAAAGTTCCTATCTATTTGAAACTTATTTTAATGAAGGAAGGTAGATAATAAATACTCACATGTTAAGTGATATACAAATGCTTTTTTTTTCTTTAAAGAAAAAAGCAAAGTAAACATTTAGAGAGTAAAAGGGGAAGCAGAGGGATCAGGGAAGGCTCACTCAGAATATAAATAATTTGAGTAGAAATTAGTAAGATGTGAAGGAATAAGCCATGTAGATATATGGGACATCCAGGCAGAGGGAACACAATGTGAAAAGGCCCTGAGGCAAAAACTGTTTGGTAGGCAAGTTAATGAAATAGAAACAGATCTGAGAGGTCCATTCAAGGAATGGAGAGGTAGAAAACAATATTGGAAAATTAAAAGGAACCACATTAACAGATCCTTGCAGGGCATTAGCAGAATTTGGGCTTTTAGCCTTTCACTTGGAAAAGATAACTCTGGTTGATCTGTGTAGAAAAGGCGACATGAAGGCAAAACATGATAGAAAGCACAATGGCTTAAAATCAGTGTAGAAGGGAGAAATAATAAGAGGTGCCAGATTCCAGACATTTTTTTCTATTTTTTTAAGATAAATATTTGGGGGGGGGCTCAAAATAGAGGAGTCACAAATGAAGCAAAGAAAGGCTGCAAACCGGAATAACAAAATGAACAGGGATGCTATTAATGGAGATGAGGAAAACTGGAAAGAAACAGGCTGGTTTGGGTACCAGAAATCAGGAGCAAGATTGTTCCAAATGGGCTTATTCATTAGAGAAGTCTACTCAATACCAAGGAAAATTTAGTTTGGAGAAATTGGTTATGAGTCTAGAATCCAGGGAATGGATCAAAACTGAAGACACAAGTTGGGAGGCATTAGCATTCGTATGATTTTTAGATTCATGAGACAGCAATTGCTCACATAATGAATGAGAACAGGTTCAAAGACTGGGCCTGTGGCACTCACCCTTACTAGTGAAAGAAAAATAATTGAGAGTTCAAAGAAAAGTGAAGACAGCAAGTGGACTGAGAAAGAGTTAATGTAGGACAAGAAACAGAAAATGGCATCTTGGGAAACAAATGAAGATGGTGTTTTCAGAAAAAAGTTCTCCATAAAAATTAGATTGGATTCCTCAAAAACAAGGAAAACAATAAGGATTTTTCAATTAGAAAAGTAACTAAAGGGATACAACAACTAATGGCAATAAATAAACCTTGGGGAGAATCCTCGTTCAAACATATAATAGCTATAAAAAAGCTCTTGACAAACTGGGTGCTTTTAATATGAACTATTTGCGCAGCTTAGGTCAGAGGATCACAAGTTGTAGGCTAGTCTGGGCAAGTTAGCAAGACCCTGTCTCAGAATAAAAATATTTTTAAAAATGGCTGGGGATGTAGCTGAGTGGTAGAGTGCCAATGGTTTAAACCTCAGTTACTGTGCACCCCCCATCCCCGGGAAAAAAACAACAAAGGAAAGAAAATTCTTGAGACAACTTGGGAAATGTAAAAATGGTGACATCAAACCACATAATTAAATTACTCTTCATCTTCTTAGGTGTATCAATAACATTTTGGTTACAGAGAAAAATCTCTCTATTCTTGGGCAATGCATCCTGAGGTATTTAGGAGATATAATGACATATGCAACTTATTGAAGGACAAATAACCTGGAAGAAAAATGGATAAATGACACACACAAGCATTTCAGATAAGGAAACTACAAAGGCCAAGGACTAAGTGAGAAGATACTGAGCCATTATTCATAATCAGGAAAATACAAATTAAAACTACAAAGAGTATTTCACATCTAGTGGAGTAGTTAGAAAGAAAGAATGAAAATATCAAGTGTTACTAAAGATGAGGAGTAATGTGGTATATTCTGCTGGCAGAATATCAAGTGTTTATAGCAGCATAGTTTTGAGAACTTCTGAGCACAGAAATTAGGTTTTGAATAATGCTAAGATTTGAAATTATATTTCTTTTATTGAAGAGATGTTTTGCTTCAACTGTGAATCGATTACCTCTGATAAAAGTACATTGTCAAAGATGAAAAGAAAAAAAAAAGACAGTAGCTTCCCATGATGTACCAGTAATTCCTGCCCTATGGATATACCTTGGGAAAACTATTCCACATGAACACTGGGGAAAGAGTGCAAAAATATTGAAAGCAACATTATTTAATATAAATGCCAAATATATGGGTATTCATTTCCTCATCATTATTTTCTTTAAAATGTACTTTATATGTTTACTATACATCACAAAAATTAAACAAACATGATCAATTGCAGCAAATGCTATTGACAGGTCAGATGAGATGAGGAACAGAAAATGACATCAGGAGCCATCAGTGAGGTACCACAATAAATAGAATCAATTAAACCATCTATAAACTGAACTCTTCTAGAATGAAAGACAACTTTCTCTATTATTTTAGAAAAATCATAGAACCAAGTGTAATCTCAACAGCTGAGAAGGCTGAGGCAGGAGGATAGCAAGTTCAAAGTTAGCCTCAGCAACTAAGAAGACCCTAAACAACTTAGGGAGACCCCATCTCCAATAAATAAATAAATAAATAGATGGATAGATAGATAGATAGATAGACAGGACTGGGGATGTGGCTTAGTGGTTAGTGCCCCTGGGTTCAATCTCTAGTACACCTCCCCCAAAAAAGAAAGAAAAATGATACTAAAAAGCAAATCTACTTACTTGAAACAGTTAAAAATTAAGCTTTTGTGCATAGCTAGCTCTACACATATCTTCTCAGGAAAAAGGATTTTTCCAACAGAAGATTATTTCCCTTATTTTCAAAAACTCTATTTAAATGCATATCATCATGTGAAGAGCCACATATGAAATGTAATGTGCAAATCAGGATACTTCTGAGAATGAAAGGAAGGGCTACTGGTAATTTTGTCTGCCCAGTGGTATAAAGTGGGGTTCTGCCAAGAAAACTGATCTGTTATGACTTTTCCATAAATAATACAAAATTCAGTTTAGTGTGCTAGTAAGTTTTCAGAAAGAATGGAATCCTCAGGAAGAAAGGGGTCCTTTCTTAAAGTTCAGTCAAATTTCATCCATATTCTATTCTAGCATGAAAAGTATGTTATGATCAGGCTAAAGTGATACTTACTCAGTTGATGGTATACAGGTTTATGTAATCCTTGAAGTCTTATTGATGCTATAGCAGCAAGTTTACCAGGGGGCTGCATTTTCCCATCTAAGAGATACCATATTCGAGCAAAAGTGGCCCATTGCTTGAAAACACAGAAAAGAAAAAAAAAATTAAAAATTAAATGAATTAAAATGGAAATAAATATTTTTACTATGAATTAAAATGGAAATAACTATTTTTACTATATACGATTATATATGTATTCTACAGTTAATGTCAACAATTACTTTGAAAGAACTATCATTAAAAAATTTTTGTTTTGTTTTCATTTCTACTTCTGAAAAAGGAAAGCCTTTCTATTATTCACATTATTTAGGTCAGTAGGTATATTATATTGAAAGCTGAGTGGCCAATTGGAAACTGAAGACAATTCAGGAATTCAATTCCAGGGTAAAGTTAAGTAAAACAATGTAGTTGGGAAAGGACAGCTAAGTTGAATGAATTTAAATTTTAAAGAATTGTCTTAAGCATGGCGTGGTGGCACATCCCCATAATTCCAGCAGCTTAGGAGGCTGAGGCAGGAGGGTCTCCAGTTCAAAGCCAGCGTTGGCAAAATCAAGGCACTAAGCAACTCAGTGAGAACCTGTCTCTAAATAAAATACAAATAGTGCCCTCCACAGACCTGCATGTCTGGGGATGTGGCTCAGTGGTCCAGTGCCCCTGAGTTTAATCCCGGGTACCACCCCCTCCCAAAAAATTGTTTTATATATCTTTAGGTTATTTCAGACATGTAGACCATTCTTTTTGTAGTATTCATCAGTGTCTTTAAATTCGAAGAAAATTCCATCCAGAAAGACCTCGACCAGATGATTTCATTATGCATATACACCAGAGATTAAACAATTCTGGGGAAAAAAATGCAACTAGGCTAGTGGTTTTGTTTTAAATTGTCACAAACTTCAAACTAGCCTATACCATAGGCAAAAGACCAATTTCCCCCCACCCATTGCAGACGAATAGTTTTATAGAAAAAAAAAAACTTTGATAAAAACGTACAAATGCTGCCACAATGCAAAACTGTTATCAAAGTTTTTAAAAGAGATTCACTTCGCTTCCTGTATTTATCTGACCACTGACAAGTAACAAACAGTCCCAGGAAAGAAGCAGCACTGGGCTAAAAGTCATCCAGGACTAACATATTCAAAAGTAACTCCTAACCTACCCTTCCACCTGAAACCTGCGTCAACTTCAGCCTTCAGTTGATGGCACACCACCCTTCCAGGTGTCCAAAACACAAAAACAAAAACACGAAGACATCCTTCTTACTTTGCTGTCGACTCGCATTCAATGTTTCAAGAAACCCTCTGGGTTCCATCCTCAAACAAAACCTGATCACTTTTTAGCACCAAATTCCTGGCCTGGATTGTGCACCCTCCTGTGTAGTGGGGTTTATTGCAAAAGCCTTGAAGACGATTCTCAGCTTCTGCCTTGCACAGACCCGCATCTCTGTACAGACAGGGTGCTTCTCAGGACCCTGTCAGTTCACGTCTGACCCTTTGGATCAACTCTCCAACAGGTCCCCACTTACCATCTCTCTGACAGTCCCTCGGAGAAAGGGAGAAAGACATGAAAAACACTGACTGACAAGGAGGGGACGAGTACCAAGATAGCAAGTGATGGTCGTCCTCACCACCCCCAGTGTGTATTTTCCCAAGAGTGGCTGCGGGTCTCGGCTTCCCTGCCGATTCACCCTCACTACTAATCCGCCGCTCTCCTTCTGCCAGCCTAAAGAACACCAACCATCAAGGCACAACAATCGGAGCTCACCTGGGTTGCCCTAGAGAAACTCGACATCTTTCCCCACTGGCCGAAGCGTCCTTTTTTAACCCCAAGCTGAGCCAGGTCATCAGCAGTACTTGCCCGGCGGGAAACGCATGGASCAAAGCACTTAGGTTCCTAGCTCGTTCAGCACTCTTCTGTTTCTTCTCACTTATGGATGCCCTCCAGTCTTCCCACGGTAACGATTTAGTCAAGGAAGAAAGAAAGAAGGCAGTTATTGATAGAATAATTCCCGAAAATAATTCCCAGTAACCTACGGAAACAGACGGAGGACACAATTTCCAAACGAGCTGAGCGGAAAAAGAAAACCGGAAGTGCGTCAAGCGCGCGGCTGTTTTGAGACTTAAACCTGGGGGTGAGTTCTGAAGGAAGGGATGGATCGGTATCTGCTGCTGGTGATCTGGGGGGAAGGAAAGTTCCCGTTGGCGGTCAGCGGGGAGACTGAGCGTGCACCAGAAGCGTCGTCGTTTGAGGGTACCGAGAAGCAGCCGGGTAAGCGCGGGGATGGCTTGCGGGAGGAGATGTTTGCGTTTGTGATCTAGGGAGGGACAGAGGTCACCATAGGTCCCGGGAAGCTGCGAATCTGGGTGGGATAGATCTAATGAGGGCTGGGCACTGTCCTCTTCATGGGAACAGAAGTACAAATTTGTGGATGCAAGATCCCAGGGCTTAAAAGTTCCTGGCACAGTAAGAATTTAACTGATCAAATCCTTTGTACCTTAATGGAATTTCTGGTCTTCGAAAAAGTATACAATAAATTGTTATGTCTTCCGTGTCCCACATACAGGCAATACAGTAAGGAACAAAATACAAGGTCTTACTGACCTTGAGCTTCCATTCTAATGGGAGGACGCATATAACATCAACTAAGTTTAAACAAGAAATGATAAATTTTAGGCGATTTTAACTGCTTGCCCTTGCGCTGCTTTTTGGTGCTTCTGTCTAGACTATTGTATTTTACTTGTTTGTTTTGGTCAGGCAGTCATTTTGAGGGGGAAATGTACAAAGTGGGGTATAAGGTGTTGTGACAGAGTTCCTGTTCTTTGCAGGGAATTTTTGATTTGTGCTAACTACTGGCATGCACAAATCGGGGCCTTTTTAGTTTTCTCTGCTTGCTCTTGCTTTTCTATATCAAAACATGAACAGATCTTGATCAACATGTAGTTATTTTATGTACAATACATTGGTTTTGAGAGTCACTGATAGTGAAATTAGAATAGGCCTATGTTATGTAACTTGAGCCATGGAGTTAGACTGTCTTTACTTTTTCAGACTTCACAGCAGCAAATGTTTATCACCTCCTGAAAAGAACCATTAGTACTTCAGTTAATCCAGATGATAGTACTTTCCCTGGTAAGTACAACATAAACCTCTCTTTTCTCTGGCACAACAGTTGTATTGCAATCAATTAATTTGCTCATTTAGGAGAACAATAAATACTTTTGACTTGGAACAGGTACTGGGATACCAAGGTAACTTAAAGGAATATAAAACTGGAAAAGGCATCACTTTCTGATATTTCAGTATCATAAAATGGTTATGAAAATTAATATAGGTTTCTAGACCCCATGCTAGTAACCACTATCCTTTATTGCCTGATTGGCCTCTGATCTTGTTTCCCATAAAGACACATCTGACTAGCTTTGACAGAAATTGAATCAGAGGATGCTATGTTAGAGACTAAGGAGTTCCATGAATTTGTTTTGAAGAGCCTAAAAAAGAGGGGAAAAACCCCTCAACTTTTATTACACAAAATATTTCTTAAAGGAGTGTATTTTATGCTAGGTAATACTCTAGATATGAAATCCCAAATAACCACATATGACAAAAATAAACTGATGACTGCTAAGTGTGGTGATATACATCTGTATTCCAGTGACTCAGGAGGATGAGACAGGAGGATCTCAAGTTTGAGACTAGGCTCAACCACTGAGGGAGACTGTCAGCAACTTAGCAAGACCCCAAGACGACTAGGGATGTAACTCAGTGGTAAAATGTCTCTGGGTTYAATTGTTAGTACCCAAAAAGGAGGAAAACAGAAAACAACAACAACAAAAAACCCTGAAGACTAAAATAGCCCCAAAGCCTTTTTTATCCCATTATCAAGGTAAATTATCTGTAAAGATTTGAAAGTATAAACCTTAATTGGAAAGAAGAGACTGTTACAAATACCTCAGAATTCCAAAGAATTTTGAGATGAGATCGTTGGGTCACTATCAGTAACCTTTAAGGAATCACAGACATTTTCAAGACTGGGAAGAAGGTAAGAGCTTGAGAGATTTCTAGTAAATTTAGAATGGAATCCTTCATTCTCTTCCTTTCCAACTTGAGTGCTGTAGAATCACTCCCACAAAGAATGGTGATGAGAAGAATTCTGCCATCAAACAGGAATATAGAGACTAGGAGCTCCATGAATTTCTTTTGAATGCACCATCAGTATTCATGAATGCATCCATGAAATAGTCTTCAAGAAGTGTGCATTTTAGAGACAGATCCAGAAATTTGACAGGAAGGGCATCATTATTACAGATCGTGTATCGACACCAGGTTCAACAAAGATGTCTGGACCCAAGAAATAAGGAATGTCTCATATATGTTAGTGTCTTGTTGTCCAGAAAACATGAGAATTAAGATTCGCCAAACAAGAAATATAATTTGGTTAACTGTGTGCCTAATGCCACTTTTAAAAATCTATCAATGGGTATGAAGACTAAGCACTGATTGTCAAATAAAGTTATAAAACTGGGAAAAAAGAAGAAGAAAAGAAAATTATTCTTGGATCTCAGCTATAGTTTTGTTCCTTTATGAAATTTTCTTGCYGGTCTTTACTTATATATAACACAGGGTAATGTGACATATGAGGAGGATTTTTTTCCTGAATAAAAATACATTATTAATGCCTCCACATCAACTTCTTTAGCACTTATTTGCTTTTTAAAAATTATAATTATCAATATATATTATTTGAACAAATTATGCTACTTTTTCTGTCCTTAACTCCTACTGATTCTCTTAAAAGCCCTTCACAATTGTTAAACATGGTGGACTTTCTTGGTTCTCATCTGCTTTAACTTTTTTGAGATATTGCATATTTTTTTGTAAAAATCTTACTACCTTTGGCTTCTATTGACATTTTACAAATGCATGTACATACTTTGAAGCTTATCTTTACTTTTGCTTCCTCCTCTTGGCCTCTGTCTGAGAATGTCCTTTGAAGACTCAGAAAGCAGAAGTGTCAGAACAGACAAAGTGCTAAAAGCTGAAGGAAATTTCTGTAGATGCCAGGGAGAGTGAGTCCAGTATGGTAACTTTATATTTCTCATGACTGTAAAGTCTGCTTCTTCCTCTTTTCTTACATTAGAGAAATTCCCCTCTCTCAGTGTTAACTATCATCATTAGAAAATGATTTCTACCCCTTCTAGGTCTATTCCCAAAAGACCTAAAAAGAGCATGCTACAGGGACACTGCTACATCGATGTTCATAGCAGCACAATTCACGATAGCAAGATTGTGGAATCAGCCTAGATGCCCTTCAATAGATGAGTGGATAAAAAA